GCGCTAACTATCAGCGCCCCCCCCCCTTCCGCCGTCCGAAATTGCACAAGGGGCGGGATGTTACAGGCTCGTCCCACCACAGCATCTTTGGGAGAAACCCGACTCAACTTGGAACCTGCCCTTGGACATGGCTCATCAATCGCCGCACGAGGGGTTGACCCGCCTGGCCTTGTAAATGTCCATAGCATTTCATGGCGCCTCAAACTCCTCAAAGCGCTCGATGTAAGGCATTACCGGGCACCCATAGCGCCCGCACACCGCACACCGCCACACAGGCCTCTGCATTTTGCGCTTCATCTCCTTTTCGTACTCAACCTGCTCTGCCACCGCCTCCTGCCAGCGCCGCACCATCTCAAGCAACACCGCCGCGTCCCCGCCCCCGCCGCCCCCCGCCAGCAGCGCCGGCAGCAGCCGCCCCGCCAGCCCCGCGTCGCCCGCCAGCCGTGCCATGACGTCATCTGATGTCAGGTCGTAGCCCAGGGACTCCAGGCCGGACTGCACGTCGCGCAGGAAGGCGTCCCCGAGCGCGCCAAACGCGGCCGGCGGCGCGGGCGCGCCGTCGCCGCCGTCGGGCGGCGGCGCCGCGGCCTCCTCGGCCTCCTCCACAATGACGATCGAGGGCTCCACGGGCGCTGTTTTCAGGCGCACCGGGGGCGGGGCGTGAGGAGCCGCGTTTTCAAAGGCAAATGCTGGCTGCCCAGCAGTGGCGGATGCTGCCGGCGGCACCGGCGGGGGTGGCACCACCTTGGTGGCCAGGAAGCTGTCGAGAGAGGTCTGCAGGTCGTCGGCAGTGACGGCGCCGCCGTCGCTGTCGTCGTCGCCGCCGCCGTTTTGCCCCTGCGGAACGAGGGTTGCAGGAGAGCACATCAGATATAGCTCGGCAATGGCAGCCGAGCTATCGGTATTCACGCATTTTTTTGCTTGTCGCTGCTGTTGCGGCGGGGACCGGCTGCACTGCAGCCAGAAGCTGGGTACGCTAGCGATAAAGCGAGCAGACGGCTTGTCAGACGATCAAATGGGACAACAACAATCCGGCGCCGGCCAGACCAACTTCCTATCCCAACACACCATGGTCCGCGCGGCGTAGGCCTGGAAGACGCGCTTGGCCCAAGTCCCCACGTCGCGCCCGTTGCTCCACCCCGGGGCCTTGACAAGCTGCAGGCAAGAGGACAAGAGAATGCGCCCCGAGAAGTTCAAGCAGGCTCAGCATACACGGCTCAGCACGGCATGGCACACGCGAGCTGAGCCCTGTGGTGCAACTCTGCGCAGGCAGCACACAGAATCATATCTTCGTGGCGGCCCAGAGCAAAAATCGCGCTCTCTGGCGCCGCCCACGCCGCCGACCTTGTCTGTCAGCCCGGGCAGCGCGGCCTCGGCTTCACCATCCAGCCCCAGCCCGCAGTCCCTCAGCAGCCGCGAGCGCAGCAGCTCCGCGGCGTCGGCGGCGTCAAAGTCCGGGAAGTGAAGCTTCTCGCTGAAGCGGCTCTTGAGGCCGGGGTTTGCTGACATCAGCGCCTCGACCTCGGCCTCGTAGCCGGCCAAGATAACCACCATCTTGCCCCTAGGGGTTGAGCGGGAGGCCGGCAGCTGAGGCCATGAATTGCAAGCACAAACAAAGACCTTCATGATTTTTCTGATACTAAGTTGGGGCTTGTCAGGGTTCCGGCGCCGTCGCCAAACACGTCTGCGGGATCCACACCCCTCTGCTCATCCTTCATCACAGCGCCCCCGCCGCCGCCCTTGATGCACTGCAATCCGACACCATCGCCACCCCCCACACACCCAGACACAACACACACACACACACACACACACACACACACACACACACACACACACACACACACACATATACAAACACGTTCACAAATGTAGACTCGCGCATGCACATGCACACATGCGCGCCCTCACCTGAAGGTCTCGTGAGTCAGCAGCGCCACAATCTCATCCAGCGCCTCGTTGGCAAAGGTGCCGCTGCCGCCCTTGGGGTTGAGCCTGCGGCGCGGCGCACCACACGTCAGCGGCGCACAAACGTGAACGCCACGCAATAAAGTGGGTCCAGCAGAGGGCACTAATCTTGCCCACACGTGCGCACGACTAGCTGCATATACATACGCTGAGCTGGCGCCACGTGACAGCTGGGGCGGCCCCGAATGTCTGTGCCGTTCCACTGTGAAGAAACCAAACACCCTAGCTTCTGCCACTGGGCCACCACACTCTCAATCTTTCCTTGTCCCTTGACGCCACCGGCCCCGAACCCCCACCCCCGCTCCACCCATGCCCGCACCCTCACAGCCACCATTCCAGGCATCTAACACCCCACGCTATCCCTCTGCCAAAACCCCATCCAGTCCCCACCCACGCACTCTCCTGACCTC